CTATCGGTTGATTATTGTAAACAAAGTCCTTCCACGGCGGACACTGCGGAGACTTGCCGAGAGAGATGTGATTTATTTTCCTAATCAGGACCGTAATGAGGGTTCAAAACCTATGTAAACGATTTTTATAACATATATTAGTGACTAACAAAAATGGAAAGGTAAAATGAAACATATTGCAGCTCGGACAGATATACTTTTGAGGCTCTAAGTTGGTGGCCATTTTGGTTGTGTACACGGGCGGCGAGTTCCAACCTTCGCCCTGTTCAACACGCTCGGTGCGTTTTGCCCTAGTGAACGCAAGGCATATTGCAGTGAAACCTACTACTTCAAATCTCAATGAATTTAACTAGTGATGTCACTGGGATCTGTTCTCGTTGACAATAATTTAATAAGGCCCTGTATTGTACAAGATCATTCACATCTTGTTCACTGGCTATATGCAACATCTGTATCACTTCTGCCTAAGGTATGATATTTGAAGGCCTTTGGCCTTTATGTGCAGTGCAAATTTCCGATACAATTCCTTGGAAGTCCTCATTCATGCAGTACATATTTATCACCTACAACTTCTACTACTAGATATTACTAGATTTCAGTATCATGACCTAATGATAAGGTTCATACTTATTTCCAGATGCAAATGTTCCTATTTTTGCCTGGTTGTTGAGCAATGCCAATACTACACTTCCATTATCTGAAGACCGGGATTGTCAAAGGTCAGACTAGTATTACGACTGACTCGGCTTTACGTCACGAAATCCCGTACAGGAGCTAGGACACTGATTTCTGTGGCAGCTCTCCTGAAGAATGTATATCCATTCACTATTAACGATACATAGACAACATTGTCTTGATTTTGTGTTTACATGTGATATGGAAAAGGAAAAGGTGTCATAATATCCAAACTCTATTTGATCCTTGCAGATACCCTGGTAACATGTTGCATAATGCCCTGGGATCATTCGTTTGCAACGGTGTGCCAGCCCATCAAAATTATTTCTCCCAGAGACATCAAGTACAGAAAAATCCCATATCTTGCACGCCTAATGTTTTCCAGTCGCACACAACTACATAAGATTCTGAGGCATTGAATCCTTTGTCAGACAAATTCAGCATGATGTATATCATTCTTTATAGAAAAGAATCATCCCCAACAGCAGTTTGTTCAAGTTTTGTACATGTATGTAGCTATCTTAGTTGTATCATAGTTAAGATTTAGGTAAAAGCACCATTGTGTTTGTGGATGGAAGAACCGCGCCTCTGATAAGTCTGTCACCCATCTTGTTTCGATTTTTTTCTTCGAACAGGCAGCATGAGGCATTTCGCAAATAGGGGATGATGTAGTATTGATAATTGTGTATGCTTGCGTGTGTGCGTCGTGGAGGTGAAAAAAAGATCCACGCATAACATTGCAAACTTCTTAACCAGGGTCTAAATTTCTTTTGGAGAATATATTTATAACCCTCCTATCTATCTATCTATCTATCTATCTATATATATATATATATATATATATATATATATATATATATATATATATATATATATACTAGCAGCATGAAATATAACATTTATTCACGCTGCCTAGTATATATATTTCCATTCGTAAGTGCTTAGCAAATAACCATTTTCTGGCAGTAAACACCGTTTTTGAATGTGCAGTCAATTCATTCGTTTACATGTATTTAGCATTATCTGAGCACTGTTGCATGTTCTTGACATTATAATAGCTTTTCTCAATTACAACCCAGAATTTTAAAGTTTGATTCCTGCGATGGAGATGCATGAAAAGAATATTTTACTTAATGCAACATTTGAAATGGGTTCAGACCACAAAGATCTTCAAAAGAACTAGATCATGACTTATTTCAGAAAATATTCAAACTTGTAGACCTCTCTGCAGGATCTGCCACATGTATTGCATCACTGTTGAGAAGGTAAATGCATTTCGCAGAAGCATATCAGGGACACGACTATAGTCACGGACCTGACGCACGGTAAGCATGTTGATGATACTATGATGGTTATGACTTTTACTTCTATTGTGTCTATACTGTTTTTAATGCTAATATCATTATTACTACAATCACCATCGTTATCATGATTATTTTTTATCGCTGGGTAGTAGTTACAGATAGCATAACTCCGTACACTTGGTAGCAGGACCGAGGAACCAAGCAGTTCCTCGACTTCCCACCAACACTCGAGCACGTAATGCAATTTTAATCTGCCACACCATTCGATTAACTCGACATCCTTTTCTTGCATGTCCATAACATGATCTCGAGTCTCCTCCTATTTCCTTTGTCAGTGTGTACATAATCTTTACGGTATAGATGAACGCACGTAGTGCGACCTGTTCGCAGTTCTGGACTCAGCGTGTCTCGCATTGCCAGCGCTCTCAGTATAAGTGTACATATAAATGTATGAAGGTTAATGCATATCAGTAGCCATTATAGTGTCATCACTATGATATATATTATGCAACACACACCTCACATCAGGTCATTATAATGTGAATAACATATATATAATATAAATATATAAGTATTAAATAATAGACAATTATATTATTATCACGGTTTATTTATCTAGTGATATATATATAATATGTGTATCGTCATATTGTCTGTAGCAATAGTAATACTAATACTTAATGTTAATCATTTAGGACTAGATAAATATGATGTGTGAAATTTAGCTATGTTGTTATATGATGATGCAATTGGTGGATTTATATAATCAATGTCTTGGTGAATGTATTGCTAGAAAATGTATCGTTACATGCATGCGCCGCGTCCTAGCTATTCTAACATCTTCTACTTCATCCATGCTACTCTCGATCTCGTCGTGCGTCTGTGTCCCCTCGCGTCGTCGTACGTTGCGTATGTCATGATCTACACTGTTCTTGTTTGGAGATGATAATGTGTAGATGTGGTGTGTTGTTGATTATGGTTAGTGAGTGTAGTATGTGTGTCGGTGTGTGTTGATGTGTGGTGTGTGTGTGATTGGTGTGTTTAGTATGATGTGTGTTTAGGATGTATAGATGTGTATATGTTATAACAGTTACGGACATTCACCACACATACAATGAATAGTGTGTTGGTGTGTGTGTTTTGTGGTGGTTTTGTGTGTCGTTAGATGATATTATGTATATAGTATAAATAGTATGCATGACACGTTACGTGAGATTATGAGTCTGTGTTGATTATGGTTGAAGGTGCTGTTTGTGTGTGTGTGCTGCGGTGCTGATCGCAGCTGTATGTCATTGTGCATTGAGGTATAATATCGGTGTTAAGCCATCTCATATATGTGGCTGGTGTGGTGCGTTATGTATTATTGTGTCGTTGTGATTGTGAGATACAATATAGATTAAATGGTGATAAATACATATACTATATATAACTTAGATATAATTTATTTAGATCAATTTATGTATGATATATAGATATGTATGTGTGATCCAAAGATATATATAGGGTATAATATACATACTAATATTATATATAATAATGATATTCAGATTTTGTAATTCCTATGTCCTTATTATCATGTGTCTGAGAGCCACAGCTCGAAATTCTATAGTAGTATATATGCTTATAATAGGTTATTCACCCATATGGGTCACCTATCATAGTTCATATGCTTTATAGTACATAATAATAGTCTGATATGGTAGCCTTATTATCTTACAATACACTAGACTAATTTGCAATGTAATATATAGTAGAATTAAGTCGAGTTATCCAATTCTTAAAATAGCATATAGGTGGTTGTTCATTAGCTAAGCACGATGGTATTTCCCGTCTATCCAACACACCTTTTCGTTCTTGATTTTAATCGTGACACATTTGCTCACTACGGAGTTGAATATCTAACAAGCAACCGGAAACGCTGCACTTACGAACCCACCTAGATGCAGATCCTATAATACTACGTCATATGATGATATAAATGATATATATATAATATATATATAAAATAGAAATACATACAGTACAAGCAATACAGTAAGCAGACGGAGAGGGAAAGAACAAAAAGGACGAGGGTGGTGGCAAGAAGGGGGCAGTCGAGTGAGGAATCTGTTATTTGTACCGGTTAAAGAGAGATTCAAGTTATTTTCTCAAAATTAATAAAGCAATACCACGAAAAAGCAACTGGTCTAATTGAGACAGTCGTATACTGATCTAGATTGAGACTATAGTGTAAATGTGGGCACCCCGCAGAAGTTAATCATCGTGGCTTAATCACTGATGCAATACGGCGCCGATTCCAAAATCCCGCTTCTTAAAGCATAGCTAACTACATAGGCAAAACTCCCATCGCGGTCATAGTAGAGGACAGCATTACATTTAGAACATTATAGTAGATATCTTTTGAATGATTATGGTTATTGTTTCCCATCTCTTACTTATGTTCACAGACTGCAATCGACACGAGGATCTAATGTTGCATCTTTACAAAGCATGCCCATCCCACTTTAGTTATGTTCTTCTGAGAGGATAAAGGAGATGCGGCATGACAATTGAACTAAATTCCCTCTTTTCCTCGAAAAATAAGTCATTGACCATTTTGAGTACAAACTTAATGCTCCTAATTAGAAGTGGACTTAAAACCGTAAAAATAGTGATTCTTATAGTTAAGGCATGGTTGAAAATCTCTTTGCCTGTCAATATGAGTAAAACAATATATCTATGCCAGCACACGCGGATTAGTGGGCTTTTCATTTTTTAGACAGGGGTAAATTAGGATAAAAGGTATATTTTATACCTGCTACTATCATCTACGTTATTTTGTCTACGCGCTTTAGTTAACTTTGCTCATTCCAAATAAAAGATTCCCTTTGACAATCATGAGTACGACAGAAGACTTTATGAGGGTCCAAAAGGACCGAAGGCGTCGTTGTAGAGGCAAAGAAGCTAGTGGCGCCACAGTGTCCCGGTTACACACAGGACATAAATTCTAAGATACGGGGAGGCTTTGTTAGCAGGAATCCC